TTTTAAAATTATTGCAATGAATTATTTAAACAAAAACCCAGGTCCATGATGGTAGGTCTTTTTTTTTTTTTTTTCCTGCTCTTTTACATGTTAAAATATCAGCGATTAAAAAAAAAAAAAAAAAAGGGTTCATTGCATTATCGCCCCAGGCTGAAAATCGAAATTCAATTTAGAAACAGTTAATTTATGGGAAAAAACAGGAATATATATATATATATATATTTTTATATTTTTATATAAAACCAGAGCGGGAACAGATAATATATTTTATAAAGACACATTTCATCACATACAATATTGCCATCTCATAGTATGAGACATTTCCTAAACCTGCGATTTATTGCCATCCGTCGTGATTCGCTGCAACCATTTCCTTGGAGGGATAGTGTATAAGAGTGCCGATGAAATCTCCCGCCGCTGCCTGGCCTGGGGGTTAGTCTTACGGGGGGACGGCTGGAGCAGTAGATACAAAAAGCGAGAAAGTGCAAACAGAAAGGCACAGCGAGGGCGAGGATTTTCCTTCTGCTGCTTCCCCGGGAGGACGCGGACGGGAGCTGGGCTGTCCCACGGCTTCGGCGTTGGCCGCGCTCCTCCTGAGGAGCAGGCGCTGGGATTAAAGGAGGAGGAGGAGGAGGGTCCCGGTGGTCCCGAGCCGCCCGCGTGCGCCTGGCGAGGTCAGGAGCCGTCGCGGGGGGTGGGACGTCACCTTGGGTGCTTGGGTTTGCCAGCAGCTGGAAGAGCTTCTTCCCGGGGACGCGGGGCCGGCGCGACGCGCAGAGCCCTCCGGTGCGGGAGCCGGCCGTGCAGCCCAGAGTGGCTCACTGGGAGCGAGCGCCGGTGGCCGGGATGCGGCGCTGGGATGCTGGCGGGCGCTGGTCCGAGGCCGGGGGCCACGTGAATGGGAGGGCTCTGGCACGGGGCCTCCCCAGCAAAGGGCACCTCCTGTGGATTAAGCTTGTCCCACCCAAATACAGATGGAGAGCTGCTCTCCGCTCGAGGTACCCCTTAACCTCCGGTCTCGGCTTCGGTGGTTGGGTACAAACGCCGCAGTGACCCGTCCCTGCTCCCCGTGGCCATGGCGTGGCTTTGGGAAGCCTTTCGTTAACGGGTCGTTAGGTGAAGAGCCTCTTCCAGACTTTGCGATTCCTAAAATGCTCAATTAAACGCGTGCTCCCTGTTTGCGGCTGGGCTGGGACCTGGCGGTCCCCAAGGTGGGGTCACCACGCAGACCCCCCGCGTCCGAGGGGCTGGAGATCCTGACCTGACCAGCAGTGCCAGGACTCGGTACGTACAACCCCAACGTCACGCCTCCGCTCAAAAACCACAGCAGCAGCCCGCTATGCAGTGGAAATAAAAAGCTTGTTAGTATATATGGCCCTCCCGTAAACACCGAGTTCAGGGTTATCTGAGGCGGGCAGACGCGGGCACCGTGCATGGGGGACCGTGATGCCACCAGACAAGCCACGGCAACGCACGACGCCCCAACATCCAACACCCGCAGCCGGGACGACCCAGGAAAACGCTTCCAAGGGCACAGCCGGGATGTTCGCAGCCGGATTCGTGCTGCTGCCCCTCGCCTGGCGCGGACGGACGTGCCCGGAGTCAGCGTTACGTAGTGCAAAGCGAGGGAGCCGTGGCCTCGGCTCCCAGGCTCCCCATGTTTCTCCTTTTAGCCCTCCCTGAACCCCAGCGCTGGGCCTAACATGAAGCCACGTGGATCATCTAAACATTCAGCAAGGCCACTTGGGCCAAATGGGAACCCACCGGATTTTTTAGGCGACCGGAGAGGGAAATTAAGGCAAAAGCAATGCAGGATTAAAAAAAAATAAAACCTCTGCACTGTGAATCCCACTCTCCTTTCTGCTGGTGGACCTGTCTCCGGCCAAGGTGCCTCGATGGGTTAATGAACTCCAGGCAGGAAAGCAGCAAGTCTAGAGGTGCGCGTCCGTGTACCATCCCGACTGCGCGCGGAGGCAGGGCTGGAAGAGCGCGGAGTGTCTCCCCGGCGTGGGAAGCCAGCCCTCCTTTCCAAACCTGGCTCTGGTTCCATCGGGATTTGGTCTTACAGAACCAGACTCCCTGAGTCGGGTATCTTTGGTTCCTCCGGTGGAGGCTGCATAATATTGCAAAAATGACACACAAAAAAGAACCACAGAAGGGAACAGTGGAGAGGGTTTAAGAAATCGATGTGGGAAAGGGAGGGAAGGGTGTAAGTACCTATAAATGCTCTTTTTTTGGACTAATTGAGAAGCACCTTCCCGATTTTCTGGCCTCTTTTGTAAGATGGATACAGGTCACTGGCTATTTTAAGCCTTCGTTGCATGTGGTAGTAAAACCCTCTCCTGAATTTGCGTTTGCTAAACCTCTAGCCTTAGTGATCTTTTTAGGCGCCTGACCAAGTCACAGCTGAGCATCTCTAAATTCATCCCCCTGAAAAGTCCAAGGCACGGGGAGGGCGACCAAAGCCCCAGTCCGTCTTCCCTCCGCTCGCTCGCTCGCTCTCTCCGGGCTCGCTGCGCCAAGCGGCGGGGGATGCTAATTCCCCGGCACGCAGAGGATGAAACCGGAACGATGCTTGGTGAAATCCGGTTGGGATTGGTTAATCTTGGTTTCCACGGAGACGGTGCATTTTCGCCCGTGCAGGCTGCACTGGACCGGGTTGGTGACGCTCACTTGCAGAGCGCGTTTCTCACTGCAAAGGCAAAAAGGAGAAGAGTCAGGCAGGAGGGCTGGGATGCGCTTGGCACCGCTGCTGAGAGCTCGGTGCAAGGCAGGGAGAGGTGTTGTCGGGTCAGGATGCATCCTGCATCAAAGCGAGCACACTGCGTTAAGCCAAGCTTCAGCTCTAAGCCCAGCTTTCGGGCTCGGTTGAGCCCTGCTCCGCACGCGAAGGTCTCCCACGCAGGGAGCCGTGTGCCCAGGGCCTTCGGCATCGG